ACATACATACATACATACATACATACATACGTACATACATACATACATACATACATACATACATACATACATACATACATACATACATACATACATACATACATACGCGTACATTTATTGCTGAATAGCCGAACATAATTAAACGAGCAGAGATAGGGCATGTGGACCTGGCCACGCTGTCGGGAACGTGCACGTCAGTGATAGTATAGTTGTCCACGGATATGGTCATCTTGCACTTACAACAACTCAACGATTGAGCCTGGACTTGACATAACACAATATGTATATGTGAATGAAGCGCGCGTACAATATCTCTTCTATGCATACATATATACATATTTGTGCGCATACTTGTGTGCATCGACGAGTTCGTAGAATGTGATCATCCTACCTACTTTCGGGTACTAAGGTGACATATATGGAGATATCTTTATGCCAGTACAAGCACGGCTTGTATTTACAATCATCAACCGGTTTTGGCCTGAATTGGTTGTGCAAAAAAAACACGTGTACGCAACTATGTCACACGTGTGGACCGTATACCTATACGCATATGCAGGCGTGTGCACACAGCGACCACATATACGCATATGCAGGCGTGTGCACACAGCGACCACCAATCTGCGTTAGCCTGGACTCGGAATGCACACATACATATATACACACCGTTAGAGTGCGTGCAAAACATAGTACACGTTTATATACGCACAGGAACGTGCCTACCTTATAGTCCCGAACAGTCACGAACAACGAGTGAATTGAGCCTGTAGTTGATGGAGCGGCGAGAAACATGCACACAGTCCGCGTGCGCGTGCCAAACGCACACAAACACCTACGAGTAAGCTGATATGCGACTGTTTGGCATTAGACGTAAATCCCCGGCCGGCCACGGTATATCTGTGTCAGCAAGCACTCACATACGCATGCAAGCGTACCATGTGAAGTCTGCATAGACCCAGCGACGGAGTCTAGTATAGTTGCATACGACCGACTGGGGACAGCAGCAGAGCACACGGGCATATATATCAGGCGTGCGTGGTCCTCGGGAAGGCATGTACGCATAGCACAATTTCACACAGCTCTGACTTCTCATCACCAGCAAGCGATTGGGTCTAGATCTGTCCGGAAGGCAAAAGCCTAACCGAAGTAAATATGTATCTATACATTATTGTGCGTTTGACCCTTTAGCTCGTCATGAATATGCTTTACGTGATAAGTGACACTAGCCATATATATATGTATACAACTTGTCTGTCGAGCGTAGTCAAGCTTTCACTGGTGATAAAATGTGATGCCCCGAATGTATTAGGATGTACTGACGCTGAATCATTCGGCTGCTCAAGAGCGCGGGAAGGTGCTCACACAAGTGTCCCCTAACCAATCTAGTACCTAAGTGTAATATCGCGGCCACCGTGGAGTACCATATGAATTGAACGCGTGCAAGTAAGCATAAAGAGTATTTGCTGCTGTATTAGAGACATTAGGTATAAATGTTATGGTACACATACACGGGGTAACCTCATGGACCACCACTGCTACCCACTTGTCCCAAAGTAAACCACCGCATGTGCTGTGTTGTTCACGTACCTAGCTTGATATGCCATTGAGGAGCCCTTGCACGCGTTTGATTGTGACTGACTACATTCATTGACATCCTACTTACACATGGCATGCTCAAGAGTTCTGTCAGTCGCCCTAATGCACCGCTTTGGGCTCGAATCACATGCCCCGACCACGTTGGATGCACGAGCAGAGCGCATTCTCCAAACAGTTGAAAAATATGACAGTATACTGCGCGACATCCAGCTTGGGCTGTGATAATCAATATAATTTATAAACCTTCGTTGCCTTTTCATCAAACACAGACACAAAAATCAAAACACATATAGTCGATTTAATATATAGCCATGGAATACTAGTTAATAACGTTTGGATAGTCTCGGAAGACGGTGGTAAGGACAAATCAGATGTAACGTGACAGGATCCTCTCAGGGAATTCTGCTCATCCAGAGCAATAGAGGGGTTGCGCCAGGAGACTGGATGTGATGCTCAGAAGTCGTCGTCGATTTTGTTTTCGATTTTGTCGTCGATTCCAGGCGCGCTCACGTATAGTTCACCCGTATTCTTGTCAATCTCTTTCATCTCCATGATACCAAGTATGTCACACACGGCGTTGCATGTATGGCTTAGGAAAACTTTGCGCATACCTGCGCGCCCAAGATCGGTGTTTCCGAACGCCTTTCGCTTTCCCATTCTCGTCTTACTGCCAATATGTGTCTGGTTTGGTTTAGTGGTGCGATGGTGAATCCACGGGTCGGTGAACTCAAACACGGCTGGTGTTCTCGTATGATCCAATACACCCTGTAGATCACACACCATCAGCGTACGTCTACTCCGTGCGTAGGTATAGTGTGTAAAGGCCTGGGGTACACCATCGTCTAAAACTCTTTTTTTGCGCTTGCAATACTTGCAATATTGTTGGGTTTGCATCGACAAGCATGGCAGATGGGCCCAAACACTCGTAGGATGACTCAGAATCGTTCCAGGTGTCGCACGGTGCTGTAGATAGCTCCTTCGACAATATACACTGGTCGGTTTGGGGGCTCAAGGTATCTCCCTCATCATTGAAGCTTCTAAGAGTTTTTCTCCGTTTATATTGGGCTCGATATCTGTTCCGAAGCTCCTCTTCGTCAGCTTCGTCATTTATAGTCTCACTTATATCTTCGTCAGGGTTTATATCAAACTCTACGCAAGAATGGAAGTGTACCGATCTACCAACTCTCGACGGTCTTTGATCAACCGGTTCTGATTCAGCAGCGACGGTTTTCTTTGGGTTTGACGATGCCCCAGTGGTTCAGCGAAGCCCCTCACGTACTTACCGTTGTCGTTCCACTTGCGATACTTCGATCGATCTAGACGTTTCTCGCAAAGAACCCACTGGTACTCGTCTGCATCAAAATTAAAGTACTCACACAGGCAGCAACCCAAGAATGAATCGCGAGCCACGTTCTGGCTAACCCCGAGTTCGTCAAGGGCTTTGTTAAATTTGGCGGCTTACTCTTGGGCGGTGAACTGTGTCATAAAAAACGGGATGTGAAATGTTCGGCCCTGCTTGTGCCCCGACTCCTTTTTGGTCGCCTTAGCTACTAGCGGGGTGGCAACGACATTCCCCGCGGCATCCACGACGTCCATGAACTTCACAATACGCTCAGCACCAACTCCGAAGTAGCCATTTTGAATCTCGACCCCCGTCGGGGTGGCAACTGCTTCCCAGCGACATGGGCCTTTTGCGTGGGGAATGAACAAATATTTTTGCAATTTATCTCGCTTGCGCAAATATCTTTTACATTCACACTTTGGGTCATCCGCGCTCGTAGCCTTTTGAGAAATTCGATACAACCTGCTGTAATCAGAGTTCAGCTCTGCATCACCCCAGTCCTGTAAGTGAGTTTTGGTTGCTGTCATTGGAGTGACCATAGAAGAAAATGAGTAGTCCAGGGCTTCACTTGGTCCGCAATTAAAGGCTCCTTGAGCTCCATGTGAAGTTGCCGTTGTCATCATCTTGCGTAACACCTCGCCGTGTTATGCGACGTTTTTCGAATCGTTTGAGAAGAGCATAGTGTTAAACGACAGCCGGTTCTCCAACACCAGACATAGATTAGCTATCAGGCCAAATAGAGAGGTGTCAAAGCTGTCTGGCGTGCTACCACAACTGGTGTCGGAAGGCGCTCCATCCGACAGGAACATTACAGCAACATCGACACGCTTGAGATCTCTGGTGTACATCGCTAGTTAATGCGCTAAATTTATAGCAAGTATGTAATTTCCATGAGAGCGTGGGCTTGGCTGTGATGCTAGCCTTAAGACAGTATTGTAAAGCGACCAGTTCGTAGGCTGCCATTTCAGGACAAACTTTGCACCGTTTCCCATTGTCACCACACTAAGTACATCTGTATGACACCGTACGTAATTTGGTACATAGCGTCTAATCTGGACACACGGACGCCTCCTGTTTTTTTGCGCATCGAACCGGATTGATCAACCACAATAATCATGTGGGAAGTGATCAATCGGCGATTCTCGGCAATCCGACACTTTTGTTCACGATACTTTTCTATAGTCTTGTCGTTCAATGGATTCGTATGGAGGCGACAGTGCAGTTACTCATCAGGCACATACTTTATCTCTTTAGCACCCGAGATATCAGTAATATACTCAGCCTGTCCGCATGTAAATTTGAAAAGTGGCAGCCCCGTGTAAGTGTCAAAACCAGCTGAGGTTTTTATACCACACCTCCCCGCTGTTTTCAAGTCAGCTACTACGGTCGCTGAATCACTTTCATTCATAATGGATTGCTAGTAGGCGTGTGCTACAGAAGTGCAATGTAACGCTTCGATTGGCGAGTGTGCAAACCGCTGAATTAACAGCCCTGTGATGGTGCCTCGAAAGTAAATAGGGTCTTACCAATTGTCATACATATACACATGTTCGACATGATCCGTGAGTAGCGGATGAAAATGTGAAAAGAGTGATATTGTTTGGCGCGTGCTAAATGAGCCTTACTTCTCATATCATATTGCTATCATGTTTACACTTATTGATTGCCAAAACACGTTCTCAATATTACGGTGTTGGTATGTGTATCATTTCGTTGCACATATGGGTATTCTTGCCTACCTATCAACTTTATTTTTTACCAATTTTTAAAACGAAAATATCTACTGAGAGTGCCTATGTATAACTCGGAATCTGGATTCAGCTTACATTCGAATCAAGCATATTAATATGACGATCCATTTTATTGGCACGTGTCCTTATTTGGAGCTTTGATTCATGGTGTAATGGGCTACACTGAACATGTAAAATGCCAGATATTGAAATAGTTTAAAAGTATGTATACACATATGTGCGATGTGGCACGAAAATGGTTACATAATTTGGTATACCTAGAGTGACAGAGTGATAAGCTTCCAGTTATCGCGTAGTACATCTTTATTTATATGTAGAGACAATCGAAACGTTGGCAGATTTTATCGCGTGACGAATGCCGACTCCCTACATAGCATTAAAATGTGAAAGATATAAAGAATGTATGGCATGTTCTTACAGTTAATTTCGCAAAGGATAGCACCCATCAAATACTGATAGTATCACGCTGGTATACTCTAGTTTTCAGTTGAGTCGGGTACCTGAAAATAAATTATACTGCGAGCAGACTATTGCTTTTCAGAGACACGTTGCAGCATGATCTACCCAAATTTCCATGGTGAGTATTATTGGCATCACGATTCAATTATTTCGAATTAATTCATGCATATTCATCTATCTACAGACTCTCAGAACAATAACTTATGTGAGGGCAAATTGTGAATATATCGTATCAGAAGTATCACACATGGGTGAAAAAATCGTGAATTTAAATTGTTGTTTTTAGAGAATACATGGGATACTCGCAGCCTAGTACCGGGGTACTCACTTACAGCCATGGGTGTCGCCATCGTGTACACGTGAGCAGATGTGGGACTTAAACTAAACTCACGCCGACTAAGTTGATTGAATGCATGCCTGACTAATAACACGAAAGAAACAGATTATCTCTACTAGGGTGAAATGTGAATGCGATGAATTGAAAGATAGTCACGACGAAGCTGTTCGTATTGCAAAACGGTGTGTCCAATAGACAATACTGCTACTAATTGATCGTAGTGTATTCTAAAGTTTAGGCAGAATGTCGTCTGTAAGTCGACCCACTTTCTGTCAAAACCACAGCAGCGCAACTGATAATATATTGTTTCGTATAGCGATGTTTCGACGCCCAACAGAGGCAAGGAGAGAGGTGTTCATAACCCATTTTAATATTTAAGTCCTAAAATAACTGCGTCATTATGTCGAGAATTGATCTAAGTGCCGCGTAGATGACAAAGATGCACATCAAGATTTCACAGTATGTGATATGAAGACAAAGTACTACATCATATACGCTCGAGGACATAAGTGAAGATGTATATGGCAATCACCTTTTAAAGTTAGTCTGGTAAATATTTATTTCAATGGAACCACGTGTCCCGGTGCAATAATATTTACTGTGATAAATTCGGTGATATTTCTATCCGGATCGTTTTATTATTTTAGAAAGCTATTCTCACTCTATGTATCAGTCTAAATGCCGAACTGGAGAAATTCTGAAATTCTGAAATGTCAAATAGGATATATATCAACTCCGCTGCGATGGAACGACAGTCATGCATCATGCGTGATGCTGCATGCACTGATGCGAACATCTGCGTCTCTGCGACGAGCTTTCCAGTTTCCTGCCTGTTGATTGTTGACTGTTGACTGTTGACTGTTGAGCGATATCCAGTTCAGTCAAAGCTCGGAGTCGGTCTGGGAAGTCGATCAAGTCGGAGACTCGGAGCCTCGGAGCCTCGGAGTAGGAGGTCTACATATGATTCATTGATTCTATGAGTCTACTTGAGGAATTCTGACCGGAATTTTCAAACACAGTTTATTATTGGATGTACAATATTGAAAATACTTTTATTGACAATTGTAAATATGTACAATTGTCACAATTTGTCCAAAATAAAAATACAACTGCTTTTCAGCTTTTGCCATTTATTTACTTTTTAGCCTTTTTTGAAAGAAGGTCTCTAGCTGCTTGGCACTTGCATACAACAAAGGAATTTTTATTGTTTGGTTTGTAAAAAACCCCAAATAGAACATTTGTATTTCGTTGTGTTTTTATTTTATTTTATTTTATGTAGCCTTCTTCTTTATTTTTTAAAACAATTAGACAAACAACAACAAATATCTTTCACTTTTATATTGCTTTTGTTTTTTTAGAGCCTCAGTGCCTCACGGCTCACGCCCAGGGCTCCGGGCTCCTGAATTTGTGACTGGACGCTGCAGTGACTGCAGTCTGCACAGTCTAGTTACTAGTGCCTACTTATGTAGGCTCACAGGAGTGGCAGGAGTAGTCACAGAGCACTAGGCCACAACACTTGCCAACAACAGACCACAGGCTCAACACAAGGTGTCAAAATGAAACCCTCACAGCCTCACACTCTCACACACCTCAGGCCTCATACTTCACGATATATATGCAAATCTAAACTAAATATTAACTGATAGTAGTTGTGATAAGTAGACAACGGATATAATATCATTAGGCTATATCGGTTTATGAATTTCTAAGGAGTCCGTCTGTGCTAAAAAAAAGAGATGGCAATATTCAACAGCTGGCAATATGCCAGTCTGTCAGGGTTGAGGATTCCGAGTTCTCCCTCCCTCTACACTGAGTTTAAGTACTCTACTACTGTTACTACTATAAATGTAAAACAACAAGAAGAAGAAAATCTCCTCAAATAAAGTCAACGCGTCAGCAGACTGCCCGCTAACTATATATACCACTATATTAGTCTGCAGTAGTCTGGTTAGAACTATACGCCACTATTTACAGTACTTCGTTGTTTTACATTCAACAACAGCTCAGTCTGCTTCTGTATTTCTGATTTCAGTGTTTCTAATCTTGTCAATTACTCCACGATCTAAATACATTTATTCTTATACATACCCCGATTTCACCACTTCTGCACTTCAGCGAGTCCAACATCCACACTAATCGCGTATATTTTAGAGATTCCTTCTTTTATATGGGGCTTGTATACACAAAAGGTGGAGTGTTCCAAACCTCGATATGATGACTAAATAAACATCCAATGCAGCCGGTAAATATGTATTCTATAGGGAGAAGATATCAACCAAAAATCATCAGTGTATAATATAGCTGTAACGGTAAACATGTAGCCTATAGCGAGAAGATATCGACCAAAATCCATCTACATACACCTACATACACCTCCAAATTAGTCTGAAGAAAATGTCGAGTATTTAAAAAACTCTGTTATCCTACACACACATATATATATCATTTAATGCACATCAACGCCTGAGGTTGACAAGGACAAAAACGAATTCGTTTTTAACGAGGTATCCGATATTCCCGCTGACCCGCTTCCTTCGCCAACCTGTACGCATTTTTATATGCCTTCAGCTACTTTGGTAGTCTTCTATTAATGTATTCGCAAACCGTCTGTAAGTGGCCAGAGGTGGACTATTACTTACGCATTTTCCGCTATGTCGGTTTACCTTTACGATTGTGAAACAGAATATGCCGGTATGACCATCGCCACGTCTGCTCTATCGAGTTACGGCTTACGGCACCGGCTGTTTATGAACAATGCAGGGAGCCATGACATTATCATACTCTACCAAGGTCTTCGGAGTCGTATCCAACCTTTCCTGAACAATGGGTAACTTATTTTGTGTTCTGTGGTCTAATACAATGGTACTCGGCGCAATTCTCGCCCTGATCCTCGTCGTTCACCCATCCAAAATGTCGAAGCAGATGATGCCCGAATCAATCATGAGTGCCGTCGTTTTTAAAGACAAGCACATACTTCTGATTTTGCAATTCAAATAGGGTTATGCTTAAGATTTCGATATGACACCGTTTGTTTCGATACCGAGACTCGTCTCAACTGTGCGATTTTCTGGGATATGCAAATGATATTTACGTGCGTACGTGCTGGGATCTCTTTTCCTTCATTGATAGCACTACTTTGGGCCTAAAACATCGTGCACGTATAGAACTTGTCTGTGTTGGTGATTTCTGATTTCAACCTTACTCAGTTGGCGTATACAACATGGTTCAAATTTACATACGAATTCAAGAAAATCTCAGCAGATTTCAATGTACATACAAATACAAGGAAGTCCCAGCGGATACCCGAATAATGGATTGCTGCCGGACTATTTGCATGTATGGGTTTTGCTGATGCACTTGTGCACATGTACTCTTTAATACTGGATCATAGACTTTATCTCCAGTCCACCACTTGCACTTGCTCAGTTTGCTTGTTACTACGAGGGTGTTTAATCTCTCGGCGCTGCAATGGCAGATGGTGATGTACCTTGCCTTAGCTGTTGCAATGATGCTTGTCACATGGGTAGTTGTTTCATAGGTAGCGAAGCAAGTGCAATTAAATCTATCGCGAAAAACAAGTACGTGCATTGTAGTGTGTTCACCATAGAAGCATCACATGCTTCATAAATAAAGAGATCGAATGTATAAATGTAATTTATAGATACCCTTGGTTGTCGGGCTGTGATGCTACGTTGTGAAATATCTTTTAGTAGCCTCACCACACTCCCACATTAGATAATTTTCCTCATCGTCACAAGCAAGATTCGATTTAAGGGTGTGTACTAAGACCAGTGACCGAATGTGTGATTAATATGTGAATACGCTGGTATAAATATGTCATTTATGCCACAGCCTTCTGAAAATTAAATTTCCGATTGCTCTCCACAAGCGCATTCGTACTTGGAGACATTCCAAGAGACCGCAGAAATACAATCAGCATAGATAAATTGTTAAGTGGCATTGGCGGGATAGTCTGGGTACATTTGCTACATCAACATTGCATGTTGTGTGTGCTTAACCGGTACAACATAGAGACTTCTCGAGATAAACAAAATAGACTATGTAGACAATACTACTGCCACCGTCCCTTTACCCTCAAATATTATCACGTAGAGTGTTCACAAGGGGCGAGGTTGGCGTGTTGGGTTTATACGAGAACGTGTAGTGTGTTATTGTATATAGTGTCCATAGCCGTCTGTCACTAAATCAAAGTACATAGGATCGTGGTAAATATAAAAATAAGTACAGCAAAGGATACTGGGCCAGCTTGCATTCCGTATTATTATTTTGGGTCTCGAGCAGGGACAGGAGATGGAGATGTCGAGGGGGAAACTGGAAAGGGATAAATACAAACATCATACAGCTTTACAATAAATATATCAGAAATTTGTATAAAAAAAATCTATTGTGGCGCCATCATGGCGCAGCGCGATCGGCGTCGGGCAGCCGGCATTTAGCCTAATCCAACATCGCTATGCGAGTGGCCAATGAAATTTGATTGCGTCATCATCTTTGACTTCATTTGCTTCACATTGTATTTATAAAAAAAAAGGCTCTCTGCCCAGTGGCCCTCTGGGCGTCTGGGCTAATCCTCTCATTCCTCGAATCCTCTGGTATGCTTGATGCTTCTCAAGCAAATTCTATTTTTTTCGCAATGAATAGTCTATACTTATTTGGAAGGCAGTTTGACTAGTTTTGAAAGGTAGTTTGACTTAAGAGATTAATGTTTTAATATGGGGATCCCGAGACTTTACTATTGATTAAACATCCAGCACAGAGATAGCAATAAAGAGATCCATCTCACCACACACCATTTTCATTATCGGAAGCCAGGCTGTAGCTGGTTGCTAATGACACTACCTGACCTGTATTGATTGACTCATCTATCCTTTAAGAAAATGACTGTTGCAAACTCACATACGCCAGATATTCGAAACTGCTTTGATGTGTGCATTGTGGGTGCAGGCCCTCACGCTCTGGCCACTCTGTGTGCCCTGCTGACTCCTAAAGCCAAGCTTACTGATTCGCAGTGTCAGCGGTCCTCTCAATCTCGATCGCGTTTACCCTCTGTGTGCGTTGTAGACCCCAATGGCAGCTGGTTGTACGACTGGAAGCATAACTTTGAGACTTTAGGCATAGATTATCTGCGTTCGCCCGTTTCTGCCCACCCCGATGCTCACGATGAATCGGCGTTGCTCGAATTCGCCTTCAGCAGAAATCGGTGTCACGAGCTCTACGAACCAGACTACTCGCGCACCTGCCTCAAGGGGTTGCCTGAGCTCACAACGGGTCTATTCAAATTACCGGGTTCTAAGCTCTTCGCCGATTTCTGTGATCACCTGGCCGAGTCCTTATCCCATCAGTTTATCAAAGGTAAAGTAGACGCTATTAAACGCTGTCCTAAAAACATGCGAACATACAACAACGAGACAATGGACAACAACATACAGTACAAAGTTACTGTGTCTTGCACAAATCACACAGCCGCCACCAATGTGGGCGGCAGCAGCGACAGTGGCATTGACACCAACGACAGTAGCAGTGATCAGTGCCACAGGCACGTCTACGCTAAGCATATAGTTCTCGCACTCGGCAGTGGGGGCGCCGCAAACGTACCGGAATCGCTACGGAAATTTCAGGACACTAAAGATGTCTACGGTCAAAAGCACATAGTACATTCCACAGAGTGTACGTGTGCAAACAACATTAAGGACGCCGCCAACAGGTATCAAGAGCAAAACCAAACGGTGTTGGTTATTGGCGGGGGGTTGAGTGCCGCTCAGGCCGCCCTAGCCGCAATCCGCACTCATTCCGGTAACAAGAGGAGAAGAGTGATACTCTGCTCCCGGAGAGAGCTCGTTACACGGAGGTTCGACCTGCCTCTTCAGTGGCTCGATCGGAGACACGCGCAGAAGTACATGTATGACTTCTATAGTGTGCCGTACGAACAACGGGGCGAATGGATACACGACGTCCGGGGGGGTGGCAGCATACCTCCCGAGTACATGAGCAGACTGATCGCAGCTGAGCGCCAAGGTCAGCTGGAACTGATGGTCGACACAGTGGATCGGGTGGAACACGTGACCGAACAGGGTGTGAGTGCATTGCGCGTGAGCTTTCAGGGCGCCAGTGACAGCAGTAGTAAACATCTCGAGCCCTTACTAGTCCACAGAGTCATCCTCGGCACGGGCCATAAGCCAGATTGTACGGAGGTGCCACTGTACCGGACTCTGCTCAAGCGGTTCAAGTACAAGTTACCCATCACCCGAACACCGAATCCTTTGCCCGTACTGAATGAGGATCTCCAGTGGGGTGAGGAGCAGATCACAGTGGTAGGTAGACTGGCTGCATTGAGCCTGGGCCCAGATGCTGGTAACCTCATGGGCGCCTCGCGGGCTGGTAAGCTGCTGGCATCTCAGCTGGGTGTATTTTCGCATCTGTACACGTGCGATAATGTTCTGTCCAATTCGTTCGGACTGTTGGATAGTATATGATGGGTTTTAAATCAGCGATCCGGAATCACACCACAGGGAGTATATATTTTTTACTAAAAAAAATAGATGGTTTTTGATAAAATTCTTATTGATATGTTTGTGTATCTAAACTTTCATATACCTATATGCGCGTGTCTGTAGACAACTCACTGGCCATGTAGATATATAAATAGGATCATTGATCGTTTCCATATCCTTGTATGATCTGCATGAGACCTGTTGCGATCTTCCCATTGTAGTGGTTGTCTTGTTTTATTTCCATATTTGAATTATACACATCTTGGAGGTAATTAGAGCATCTGGCCAATATCTTGCTACTATCGCACAATCATCAGATACAAAGTGTACTAACGCGCCCAAGACAAAGTATCACTATGAATATGTATCATACATCAGTATTCATAATGATATCTACAAATTTATTCATCGTATATATATGTATATATATATGTATATATATATGTATATATATATATATGTATACATATATGTATATATATATCTATCTATCTATCTATATACATCTATATATATATATATATATATACATATATGTATAAATATATTATATATATATATATATATATATATATATTCATATTCATATGTAGAAGAATATATCTTCGAATAAATTCGCAGATGTATTTATATATGCACGCATAACAGGCCCATCCTGCATCTGTAATCGGCAAACTTTTTATGGGCATGTGCCACGTGATTCTTCACGACGCTCTAATCCGTTTGTATACGGATACAGATATACACGTGCACACACACGCACTGTGTGTGCATATAATGGTGTTGGTTGTTAGTATCTACACGTTTTAAGAAACAGACAATTTGTACTCAGTGTATATAACCTTCACGCCGACAACGGCTTCGCCAATGCCCACTAGCTCATAACCAATCCGATGGTTTCCATGTATGGATATTTATTCCAGCGTCGGGCTAATCTAATCCTAATCATCTTGAACGGCACAAGTGTGTATACACTACTTCTGTTGAGCCTGTATTAGCATGCACAATTACGTTCATAACAAGCATTATGTTCACATCAAGCGCATTTATGTGGTGTTTGTGCCTTCTCGAGATATCTTCTCTAAAAGACAGGCAAGGAGTGCCTGTGATAAGGCTCCGTTCTTGTACTCCGTACCCGGCATCTGTCCGATATATACACATAGAAGAAAGTATTAGTAAAAACAAGAAAGTGTTAGTATAAACAAGAAAGAACTAGCACAAGCAACAAAGTATTAACAAATATAACAAAGTAGAAGTACAAACAAGAAAGTAATCCTATTTTACCAATAAAACCATGGACACCAATGCAATATCTCCATTTACTCAGTGTTACTAAAACTACACAGAGGTATATATATATATATATATATGCATATCTCAAGCACATGACTACCAGTGTGGTCTGAGCATACCTGCATGGCTGGTTCAGTGTGGTACATATTCTCCAGATACACCAGACTGGCCCCCGGCATTCGCCCGTCTGCGGGTGCTACCATTCCATCGTTCTTTGTGCCTACTGCTTTCATAATAACATCGTGGCAGAACTGTTGATAAAAGAATAGTGCGTGTGCCAACTTAAGGTGTGTCTGTGGAGAGTGGTGAAAGCGCATGCTTTCCAACGGCTTTCATTTCATAATATCAAATCACAACTGTTGACAACAAGATAGCTTTGTGTGTTAATTTAAGACGTGTCTGTTTTGCATGGGAAATGTGCATGCTTTCCAACGGTTTTCATTTCATAACATCATGATCGAAACTGTTGATAAAAGGTTACTTTTGTGTGCTAAATTAAGGCGTGTCTGTGGCGAATAGGGTATGTGTATGCTTTCCGGCGGCTTTCATTAAAGGCGAAACTGTGCAGGACGTTATATTGTATATGTGTTAAAAAATGAGCCTCTGGAGGTACAAGTATAGTGTAGTTGTGCAAAAGAAAGGCATGTGCTGAGCAGAAGCTACCGCCAATGTAGCATGGGGCTTAAGCACACTAGCAAACGGAGAGTAGGGGGCGGCGGTCGAATTCAAGGCGAAGCAGACACCTATTCTGCAGAAGGAGTCAGACCACAACCGATACTATAAGCGGTCGCTAATATAATTATTAAACCCCAACCCTGGAACCTTAATACCTAAAACCCTAAAAACCCTATACGAAAAAAAAAGAACAGAGAAATCCACCGATATACAACCATCTGTGTACAAGCGAAGGAAGCGTACTCTACCATCCCTTCGTGGGAGGAAGTGCGAAGTTGAATGCTTTAGACATACCCTCATTGACCCCAATATAATTGTAAATATAATGAATATACAGACGCACTGCTAAAATAAATACAATTAAAACAAATATACAGATTTTGGTAAAATAAGTGCGAAGTTGAATGCGCTGAATGCTTTAGATATACCCTCATTGACCCCAATATAATTGTAAATATAATGAATATACAGACGCACTGCTACTATATATATAAATATAACAAATATACAGATTTTGGTAAAATAAGTGCGAGCCTGAATGCTTTAGACATACCCTCATTGACCCCAATATAATTGTAAATATAATATACAGACGCACTGCTAAATAAATATAAATATAACAAATATACACATTTTGGTAAAATAAGTGCGAAGTTGAATGCTTCAGATATACCCTCATTGACCCCAATATAATTGTAAATATAATGAATATACAGACGCACTGCTACTATAGGTATAAATATAACAAATATACAGATTTGGTAAAAAAGTGCGCATTTGAATGATATAGACATACCCTCATTGATCCCAACCCGGCTAGTTCATTGATTGTATCCAGGTTCTCCTTCTTTAGTTCAAACCCCCCGTACGTGCACATGTTCACTGTGGGGACTGTGGTACACAGGTCGCGCAATAAATATGAAGTATATGAGAAACATCGAGAAGATACGAGAAAGTAATAAGTAGGGTAGTATGAAATATATGAGAAACATCGAGAAAATGAGAGATTAGGCAGATATTGTAGTAACACGCACATGGGAAAAATAAACAAGATGAGAGCAAGCAAATATTATAGTATGAAGCCCATGAGAGATTATCGAGACAACAAAATGAGAGAGAAAGCCAATATTGTAGTATAAAGCATATGGGGAAATAATCGAGAATACACGAGAAAGCAAAAGGTACTGTAGTTTGGTACTGTAGCTGAGAACGGTACTGTAGCTAAAGGGTACCTATAAGGTACTGTAGCTGATGAGATGGTTCTAATGAAGAACATGTAAAGGCATAGAGTAAAGCAAACTTCTGAGTGCCATACAGGGCAATTAACGAGATGATTGCTCTTCCTGCTATCTAATTCGGATCTCTTTCGGATAGTCTTCTGTGAGGGGGTATGCCTGATAGTCATACATAAAATCTAAATAACCTACATCATTACGTACCACACTCATACTCTTCTGAGTGCCATGCAGGACAATTAACGAGGAGCTTTCTCTTCCTGCCATCTAATTCATACCACTTTCGAATAGCCTTCTTTGAGGGGTTATGCCCGATGGTCACACATAAATTCGATAACCTCCATCATTATACACCACACTCATACAATTCTGAGTGTCATACAGGAAAATTAACGAGGAGCTTACTCTTCCTGCCGTCGAATTCGTATTGTTCTCTGATCGCCTTCCTCGAGGGGTACGCCAGATCTTCGTATGCCGCTTTCTCACCCGCAAACAATGTCTCGACTACTTTGGTAGCAGCCTTGTCCACAGGATTATTCACCACCCAATCAATCATATAGGAACCTGTGCATATGTGATTAGCAGTACGAGTTCGGGATTAGTACTGGCATTACGTTTCCTAAGTAAGTACGCATGAACAAATACACAATACACGTATCCCGATGGGTTGAGATACCACTCAATCAAGCATAAAAGTATCATGCATATGTGATTAGCTGCACGAGTTTGGGATTAGTACTAACAGTACGATTCCTACGTACGTACGCATGGACTAATACAGAAAAAAAGGATTCTGATGGACTGATACCACCCAATCAATCATATAAGATCCTGTGTATGTGTATGTTTAGCAGTACGAATTGGAGATTAGTACTAGCAGTACGTTTCCTAGCTACTTTGGCCTGGAATAGTACACAACACACGTATTCTATGAGATTGTGATTTCGTGTGTATATGCGTACGGGCCGTGTGGGCCCATAGACTTCCTGAACTGCTTTAAGGGCTGCCTAGTCAATGGGGTTACTCACCTGTTTTAGGGTTTTACAGGTTGAGTATATAACAGTACATGTTCTGAATACTTACTTATGCAATAATACACCAACACATATATTCTGAGCGTCTGGGGTTTCAGTAGAAATATGTGTACAGGTCCGTCAATTTTGTGCACTACTTTGAAGGTCGTCTAATCCGTAGAGCTATTCACCACCCAATCAAACATGAATGACCTCAGGACTAGATATTTTGGATAAAAGGTATGGGTAGTTATGTTGTATAATAGGCATGAGTAGGTATTTTGTATAATGAACATGAGTAGGTATGTTGTGTAATAGACATGAGTAGGTTTTTTGTGTAATATGTATGAGCAGGTATGTTGTATAAAAGGCATGAGTGGCTGGTTGATCTGTACAGAATAGAGTAGCATATTCATTTCCTCAGCGGAAGTACGCAGATAAAACAAAACAAAACAAAACAGTGTAACACTCTCCGTGAGGCTAATATGATATATAGATATATACGTATATTATAATCAATTCACACCATATATCATACATCACCTACAACAAGCACGTATGCACCGCCAGAGACTTGTGGATTAAACACTTACCATTGTAGGGGGCTTGCATAGTGATGACTCCGTACATATGCTCTTGCAGCTGACGAGACCGAAACAACAGGAGGAGGTTAGTGATGTGCAATACGAGTAGAAGGTGTGCCGGACGATAGGTATAGTGTGGCAACGGAATATGCATATGAGTACACGCGAGTGTTGACGGAATCAGGAGCGATAGGTGGCATTGTGTAGGGTGCTATGTGTCTCAAGCCATGTATTAGTACCAAACGATACGGAAAGAAGGCAAAAGAATACTTCCAGGATGGTCAGCTATAGACATGGCGGCTACATATACTACATATAATAAGACTAACGTACACACAAGCAAACACAAGGATGCAACTGTTTTCACCTGTGATGAACGCTCCTTCACCACAAAAAGCTCAACTCTGTTGCACGTTCCTAATCCGCAAAAAGAACATAAAACAGTAAAAATATACGATGTGTACATAAGCGTGCCAAAGCCAAACCCCAAGAAGTGAATGTGCTGGCTCATATGCAAACAGTCATACCTCTGCGCATAACTTAGAACAAACCACTGCATGACATCCCCCAATGCAGTATATAGTTCAACATCCCAAAGCAATCTTAATTTATAAACATACCTATCGATATATATATACATACATATATACAAATATATATATATATATATATTACTTACCTCGGGGTACTTGATCAGCGCCAGTGCAATATCACAGCCCCCTTTGGAGTGGCCATATATAACTAACTTCTTGGAGGGGAATCGAAGGTGCATTTCTGAGCGGTATATAAATACATTGCAAGGTTGATCACGGCTTTTCAGAGCGTTTTATAAATTAATCGCAATAAATATATACACACACACATATGTATACACACACACACA